GTGTGTGTGTGTGTGTGTGTGTGTGTGTGTGTGTGTGTGTGATTCCTGTGATGCATGCCACCACCTGACCAACCCTGACTGTGACTCCACCTCCAGGTAAAGGCGGCGGAGCAGCAGAGCCTTCGGCGGAAGATGACGCCATCACGCCATGCAGCAGCCAGGTTACAGTGGCAACCAAACCCTCCGCCTCAGCTGCCCCCTCTGTGGCGGCGGCGTCTCACGCGGTGAGAAACAGAGCGAAACGTCTCGATTATCCAAGTTTAATTCTGCACCTATTAGTAACTGTGTTGGCAAAATCTGTCCTGAGCCACTGAACAGATCTGAAGCATGTTGAATCTTTAATATCACCCGGGACCACCTTTACCTGACGACATCACTCAGAACTGTTCAGGATTTCTGCTTTAACGCCACAACAATAGAGTTAAAGAATTTAAGCTGGATTTTTTCAGAACCACAAAGCTCTCCGCTGAAAACAACAACTTTCACAGGAATTTTTTATTCAGTTGAAAGATGAAACTGTGGTTTGAGTGAAAGTGATTCAGGAGGGATAAACTTTTGAAAGTTTCTGGATAAAATTTGTAGATTTTTTTATGTTTTTATTGATTAGATTCTTTAATTCTTGAGTTTAAGCTCTGTCTGTTTGGTTTCAGGCAGCAGACGGGAAAACGGAGACAGTGATGGATGCTGCGGAGCTCGAGGGGGACACTCTGGACCCTCAGACGGGTTTGTTCTACAGATCCAACCAGTCGGCACCAGCTCCACCCACAGCGACTCAGCAGCCTGCACCGAGCCGATCTGAGGCCGAACAGAGCTCCGCCTCCACCCCGCAGGCCCCGCCCACGCCTCCGCAGCTGCAGAGCAAGCCTCAGCCTTCACCTTCCTCATCCACTCCCCCTCTGACGAAAAAAGTCCTGAAACCACGAGATCAGACCCCGCCCAGACCCCAGACTTTAACGCAGAGCCCCAAGGACCGACCTCCGACCGTGTCGGCTCAGGCCGCGCCGAAGGTCACGCCCCCCGGCGCAACGGCCAAGCTCTCGGTGACKCCGCAGCTCCCCAAGCTGCAGCACGCCCCCACCTCCCTCCACAGGCCGCTGCACACACCCATGTCCCACCCCCCTCCTCTGCAGGCGCACCACCCTGTCAGCACAGAGAAGATAGCCTCCAGCCAGGTGAGTTTGGCTCCGCCTCCTGAAACAGCCGAGAGCCATGAGTCTCTTCAGATTTTATTTCATATCTAATTCTGGATGCAGCGTGACGGGAATCCCCTCAGTCCTTCAAAACACAATAAATCCTTTTCATGTTTACACTGAACAAACAACACAGATTCTGTCAAAGGCTCCAGCTGCTGCGGCTGCCCTTCGGCTGTTTCTGTTTCCACTTTGAAAGTGCAAAGAAACTCAAAATCTCCTATTATTAAAAGAAGGTTAAGAACCAGAGAAACTCGGTTTAGTTAGTACGCCAAGAGCCAAGAAACAGCTAAAATCAGCTAAAGGAGAGTTAAATCAAGTGGAACAGATGCTAAAACATTTAGAACAGCAGCTAAAAAAAAATACATGTAGCAAAATTACTTAAAAGTAGCAAAACTATAGCTAAAAACGCAAAGCTAAATATAATAAAACAGTGCCTAAAAGTGCCTAAACTGTATCTAAAAGTTCAGTGTAGCAAAACAGCTAAAAGGCTTAGTGTAGTAAATCATTAGCTAAAAAGATCAGTGTATCAAAACAGTAGCTAAAGGCTTAGTGTAGTAAAACATTAGCTAAAAAATCAGTGTATCAAAACAGTAGCTAAAGGCCTAGTGTAGTAAAACATTAGCTAAAAAGATCAGTATCAAAACAGTAGCTAAAGGCCTAGTGTAGTAAAACATTAGCTAAAAAGATCAGTGTATCAAAACAGTAGCTAAAAGGCTTAGTATAGTAAAACATTAGTGTTATGGCAATTATTTATCTAACAACAGAGACAGAAATACGTGGTCCAGAATGAAGGTACTCCGTGGGATGATCAGCTGAGTTTTATTGCAACAACAGGAAACACAGAGAACCTGGCCTGTCTCTGTGCCTCTCTGTCAGTCTCTCCACACTGCTCACTGTCTAACTCTCTTGCACACTGTGTCTCGAGAGGCCTCATATACAGCATTCTGTCATCTAACATCGTGTGAGAATGAACAACCAATCATAACCTGCCCCATCCTGATACACGGAAATAGGTCAACTTGATGCTGACGTCCGGAAGGATATCACAAGATATGAACAAGTGTTCATATCTTCRGGAACAGGAACAAGTGGTCAGTGTCAAGGTGATACAGAAAATAAGTATTCCACAACAATTAGCTAAAAAGATCAGTATCAAAACAGTAGCTAAAAGGCTTAGTGTAGTAAATCATTAGCTAAAAAGATCAGTGTATCAAAACAGTAGCTAAAGGCCTAGTGTAGTAAAACATTAGCTAAAAAGATCAGTATCAAAACAGTAGCTAAAGGCCTAGTGTAGTAAAACATTAGCTAAAAAGATCAGTGTATCAAAACAGTAGCTTAAAGCTAAATTTGAAAAAATGGTAACTGAAAGTATAAATTATAACAAAATTGTAGCTAAAGGAAAAAGATTTGTTTTTCACTATTTGTGAATAAAAGTTAAATATTTTAAAAAGTAGAAAAGTTAAACTCTAAAAAGGTCAGAGGAAAGTAGTGCTGATGGAGCCGAACATTTTGATTGAAGCACAAAATGGAACATTTTTTGCAGAAATATCAGGAAACCTGATGATTTATTTATTGTTTCTCCTAAGCAGCCAATCATCACACAGAGTGCCACCGTCACAAAGATTACCTTCGGCAGCTCGCACCATCCGCCGCCCGTCTTCAGCAGCGGGGAGGCGGCCGCCAAGCTGATCCCAGAGTCCAGCTCGGGACCCCCGGGGGACAAGCCGAGCGTGTCGGACATCCTGAAGATCTCCATGATGGAGGCGGAGATCGACCCCTGCACCGAGCCCATGGTGGTGGACTCCTCCAGCGACTGCAGCCCTCTGGGGAAAACCCTGGAGGTCCAGGCCGTGTCGGGGACGCTGGACTCGGGCCAGTTCATCAGCAGCTCGGGGGCCGGCCTGAAGCCCCAGCAGTTCAGCTGCGTTCAGGGCCTCGCGGCGCAGAGGAACAAAGACGACCTGGAAGTCATCGAGGTGAGTTTCTCGTTACAAAACGCTGCAGGTCATAAATCAGAGAAGCTGTCAGCATCTCGACGTCTTCACTGAAACTTAATCTGAAACAGTCATTTAGTTTCAGTCCTGACTGCAGTAAATCAGCGCCCCTCCACCTCCATACTAAATACTTCCAGATTAAAAGCATAAATTCAAACCTGGGACAGTTTTTGTAAAGGATCTTCGCACAACCCCTCTTTCATTCACCTCATACCCATCATACTGTCTGAACGCTAGTCCTGCCTGTTAGCAAAATATCTCATGGTACACCTTGGGATTTTAAGATGGCCGCCATAGTCATTTGAGTTTAGCAAACACAAAGAAGGCTCTAACTCAGTCCGTTTTACAGATTCTAAGCTGAAAACACACAACAGAGCGCTCATTTTTGGAGATTTGACCAAAACTGCAACTTTACTGTGCTTTAACTTACTACTAATAAAGATGCCTCGCGTATCTTTAATTTTAAATTAATGATTTGTGACAGAAAACAATTGAGAACAGGCCTCTAGTTTGCCGTGTCCGCAGTAATCTGACGACCTGCTCCTCACAGGTGATCCCTCAGTTCTCCATCCTGCCGGACTCCAGCCAGTCCAACGTGGTGGTGGAGCCCAGCGGCTTCCTGGAGATCACCAACTACACCAGCCAGCAGCTGGAGGAGGACAGCCCCATGGAGCAGGAGGTGGACAGCAGCAACGACGAGGCCGCCGCCTCCAGCCCCGCCAGGCGCCCGTAGTTCCCTCTGAACTTCTTTGTTTTCAACCGGAGGTTTTTATTTTTCTCCCTCCATGACTGTTTTTTTCTCCCCACAACTAATGGCCCATGTGGTTTTTAATGGCCAAACCTGTGAGCGAGGTGAAAGGATTCGTTTTAGTCCCAGACAGCTGGAAGGTAGCCTCTCCGAACACAAAACCTCCAACTCCCAGGACTTTGAGAGAGTTTAGAAACAGGAGGATTTGGTTCCACTTCACATTTCAGATACTCTGTTAATATCGGTCCGGAGACAACGCCTCTCTTCAGATTTACTGAGTTGTTTTTTTTTTTTCTGAGACCCGCCCTGAGTAACTTAAAAAATATATATCTGCCACCTTTTTCTGAAAAACGCTGCAAGTTTGTCTTTACAAAGTGTTAAAACTGAGCGTTTCTTCAATACCTTTTTCAAAATGGAAAACATTTGATCTGCACAGACTCTTGAGTGGAACAGGATAGTTCACAGGATGTATTTTTATTGGATTCAACAACAAACGCTTTAAAATATTCTCTCTTTTCTCATAAAAAGCGCAAAACTTGTACATTTGTTGTGTGTTCTTTTGCATTTATACAGTATATTTCGAACTAAAAGAAAAGGCCATTTAATCAAATGGAGAACGCAGTCTTAAAACTGAGGCCTCAGGGGTCGTTTTAGCTGCTTTTGCTTCTCATGTTTAAAGAGATCCGCTTCCCCGAGGCTCAGATCCAGCCTCTGGAGTCCAATTGGTCCAAATCAGCCTGATGTGGTTTTGTTTAGGAGTGTCACCTCATGAATCCCGCAATTAGATGAAAGTGCCTGACAGGAAATGGTTCTGCTGACTCACCTGACTGAGACACGTGGAGTGGTCAACTCATCACAAAGAATCAAAGAAATTCTTATTTAAACCCCTTTTTTTTACCACAAACCAAAGTATGAAATAATCTTTGGGTTTCGCAGCCACAAAATGCAGAAGAAAAAAAAACTAAAACTACCTAAAAAGGTACAGGGTAGTTGGGCAAAATAATGTGACGGCAGCCAAAAAACTGTTTTATCTTAGTTGACATCATGCTACCAGCTACCAGCTATGCTAGCAACATGCTAACTAAATTTGCTAGCTTAGTGTGTTTATGTTAACCACATGCTATGTTGGCAACGTAATGTCTAAACAAAAGTAGCACGTGGTTTTGTAGAATTTGAGTCCAGGTTAATATTTATTTACATAAGTTTAATACGTGAAACAGCAGAAGATAAGTTTGTGTGGTGATAAACTCTGGAGAGATTCATGTAGGAGTTTCCTCCATCTTGTCTGTCATTTATCATCCTGGGGCCCACGGTAACATTCCTTCAGCTTGAGTTTTTTTGATTTAATGCCCGTTTGCTCTTTACTAACAATGAGTCTCACTTGCTAACCAGTTGCTCATTGCTAACGATGAGACAACACTCAMCAGATTTTTTTTATTTTTAATTTTTGTTTAAATAATAAAATTCAGCACTTTTGACTCATTTGTTCGTTGTGCCTGTAAAGATGAACCAGCTGTCTCTTAAGTTCAAACAAAGCGTTCTTGGATKCCGTTCAAAGTAAAGTTTAGTAAATGGGCTTTATTTTAATTGATGTTKGTGCAGGAATAGATTCCAGACGAATGGTATCATTGTCCTGAGAGCTCTGCTTGTTTGGATTTCGTCTGCTGCCCAACACCAAGTCTCAACACAAAGCTTGAAAACAAAACATAAAGCACATCTCAGAGTTCATCAAACTCACGTCGCTGCAGGAAAGAATGTGACCYCTGACCTTTCGCGTGGTTCTGGCTGATAAAACGCGACGGTGAGTGCCTTGTTGGGGCTAAAGATGAATAATTAGAGGCGGCCTGCTTCCAATTTACCCTTCTGTCAGCGTGGAGTTCACAGAGCGAGGCGCAGTTACTGAGACAGAGAGGGCAGCATTCACATTCATCTTCCCTCCCAAGATTTCCCAACAAAAAACAGACCGGACCGGACCGCACCACACACTGTGTTTACATTAGCATACATTTGGTATGAAATGAACGCAGCACTGACTGAACAGCTCAGTTTTACCAACAGAATGATATGAAGTGTGTTTTGATACAAGCTGGAGTCTGTTTTAAACATATTTAAGCTATAGACATAATTTACAGATTCATGCACACCAGAGGATGAACTTTTGATTATTTCTAGCAAAAATAGACACATTTTGGTCTTACACTAAATTAGGTTTAGCTAATTTTAAGACCACTAAAAATTTCACAAGTATAAAGTGCTAAACTTCTGTTTTTATGCCTGTAGCAACTTTGGCAGCTAAACTTCAAACCAAGATGGTCAAAATAATAATATTTGACAATRTTTCAGTGATAAATACAAAAACTGACTAAAAGAATTTGTAGTTTGACTGAATTCAAATCATATAAGAAATACAAACTTAATGTAGAAATGCTTTTATTCTGAAAAGCGTAAACTGGTATCACGAGTTAGACCTATAAATCTGGTTGGGAACTTGCCTCAGATGATCCCACCCACCTTTAAATTAAACAAATAGAAAACTAACAGGTCTGAGTCAGTCCTGCTATACATCTTAGCAGTTAGCATGAGCATAATCAAAATTTTCTATACGTTTAGCATTATCAAAGCTTAGTGGCTTAGTGGTTATTAAATCTAACTTTTTGGTTAGCTGTGCTCACTATTGTTGGTTAACATTGTTTTCTAAAATTTATATTGATCAAAACTTTGTAAAGAATAGCAAGATGGGTTTGTCTAAGTCTTTACAGTTGTCTAATTTATTAGCCTTTGTGTTATCATTTAGGCATCCACATTGTAGCGACACGTCAATCACACAAGCCCCTCCCTAAAAYGTTCTTGCTGTATCGTCTCACTTTAGAGTCAATTACAAAACGAATCTCTATACACAACTGTGAGAAACGTCAAACTAACCACAGGAGCCCCCTGCTGGTGAGAAGAGGAAGAACGTCCAAATTGGCTTCGCTTTTCTGATCTGGAAGTACAAAACAATCAAATATCTTTTAGTCTTTTTTAATCTATACTTTTAAATAAATATTTACAAACTGTTAATTACTTGATTTCAGAGATCTTTGAACAAAAATATATTTGAAAATATGTTTTTCTTCCTCATTTTTGCCATTTGGATGTGTTGGTGGTTATTGTATTGGCTAAAACAAAATTGTATATGTAATCAAGTTTATATAAAAATGTATACAATAAAATGCATGTTTGTAGACACTATCAGGACTTAAGTACAGTTTTTATAAATATTTAGATTATTTTACTAACAATAGATTAAAGATGTTTTTATTTGTTTGTAGCAGATGTTCAGGATTAATTTCTTCATCTGTGACTATAAGTTACCTGCTCTTTGTTCAGACCAGTTCTTCTGATCTCAGCTGGACCGGACCGTGAGTCCAGGTTTAATTCTGAGTCACTGCCAGCTCACACAGGAGAGGAAAAGTGACTGAGGCCTGTTTCCAATTTAGGAACCACAAATATTTTCCGTATGCTTCCTCTGATTCTATCTGAGCTCATAAACAAGAAATAAAAAAAGAAAGGTGATGGAAAACAGGAAAAGTCTTTAAAAGGAAATGATGCCGGTCGGTGGGTTGGTCCAGCAGAACCTTGGTGATGGATCCACTGTGGAGTGGGTCCCTTTCAGAGGTGAACAACGGTGACCCGGTTCTCCCAGAGGACCAAAAGCTTCCGTTATTGTCTATTTTTTCACTTTGCTCTGGAGGCCTGCTGGAAAAATAAACAGAGCCTCATTTGAAGTTCAGTGATGTGGAACTGAGGAACTTTCTGTTCCAGTCAGAAGTTTTTAAAGTTTGGATCCAAAAGGCTGCTTCTTCTTCTTTGTTGTGTAAAACTATTAATSATCAGGTAACAACAAAACAGTGAAACTTTTAGTAAAATAAGCTTTTTGAAAATTTTATTTGTTTTCTATTTTTGTCCCAAGTTTAAAGAAAGTTTGAGTAACTTATGGTTAAAAAAAGAGGAATGTTTTACAATGTAGAGAGTGGAGTCATCAACAAAGTGACAGGTGTGTGGATTAAAAACAAAACAGGAAGCTGAATATTAAGGAAAATTACTTCAAAATAAAACAAAAAGTAAAGCTAACTTTGCAAATAATCCAACAAGGAACAGAAAATGTGCACTTTTAGTGAAAAACCAGTGAACGACGAGAAGCTGAACAAACGGAAACTGATTTGTTAGAATCAAAGCTAAAAATATCAAATCAACGGGTAAACACTGAAACAAAACAGTAAATAAAATTAGGAAAACAGAACATGGAGATTCACAACACAAGACATCAAAAGAGGAGCCAAAAGCTAAAATAGTAGCTAAAAGCTAAATGTTGTAAAGGACAGAAATGCAGCAGTGACACTGTTTTAAGAGACCTGCAGAGATCTAAAAGCCAGTTTATTTTGTCAATTATGTTTAATAAAATAAAAAAGTATAACAAAGTTGAAATAAATCTTTGATTATAAATGTTTAAAATATAAGAGTATGTAAAAGTAATTACTTTAAGAAAGAAGATATAATAAAGCACATGTAAGGGTAAATATCATGTTTTATTCACAATGAGGCCAAAATGTTATCTTTGTACCCAGATCATSTAAAACACAGATTGCTGTGGAATGTGTCTCAGTTCTGACCCGGTTTCACTCTGAACTTATCCTGTGATGCTGATAAATGTCTGAAAAAGCAACAAACAGCTGAACAAAACAGGCAGCATGCATTTTAGCTGCAGCTGTTCTGAAGAAGCTAAAAAACGCTGGACTTGTTAATTAAAGCAGATCAAAGACGTCATTTAAACTCATGTAAACATCGTCTAGACGGGTCCAGATTACAGCTGGGATTTCCTGAACTCTGATTAAAACAGAAACCAGAACAGATCTGGATCACTGGATGATTTTTTTTTTATTATTTCTTCAAATCAATCCATGGGAACGTGAGATATTTTGCTAACAGACACACAAATGAACACACAGGTGATTACATCATTGCCTGTCTTTCAGTGATCAAATATATAACATAAAGTAATGAGATTCTTTGTTATTAAAAATCTAACAGAAAGTTTGTGGAGCGACATTCTTCTTCGACAGTGATAAAGAGGCTTTTTCCTCTTTGACGTAAAACAGGAAGGCCGTCGGACCACTTCCTGTACCACCCTGACAGTAAATTAGGTYCAGTAGGCCTCTCCTGGGAGGGGTGGAGGGTCTGAGTCACCGCTGTTAAAAGCTTTTTATTTGACAGGTCAGATAAAGCTGAAGTTTAGCTCCGACCCATGAAGAGAGGTTTAGTCAGGGAGGTAAAAGAGCAGAAATGTTCGTTTAAACGCTTCGGGTCAGGAAATGTAGCCGAAATAATGTTAACTCGAGACATGAGCTATGGTGTGCAAAGACAAGCTGAAAACTAGCCACACATGAGGTAACAGCAACAGAACAGGAACTGAAAATAACAAAAAGATGCTAAATCTCATTAGAATAACAGCAACTGAAATCAGCAAAACATGGGCTAAATCCTCAATTAGCCAAACAAAAGTTGCAAAAGAAATGGTAAAATCAGCAAAACAGTTGCTAAAATTATTAAAATGTTGCCAATATTAGCAATTTTTTTTTTGTAAAAGTAGCAAAATAACTTCTAAACCTTAAATCAGCAAAACAGTTTCTAAAATTAGCAAAACTGTACAAAGGAACAGAGCAATAAAAGGATGGCATCTAACAAGCATAAAATGTACAAGATAAAATTAGCTGAGCTAAGTTTGACAAAATGTTTGCCAATATTAGCAATATTTGTTGCTAAAAACAGCAAAATAAATGTTARATCTAAAAATCAGTAATACCAGTTAAAATGAGCAAAACTGTGATCATTTGCAAGGGGAGGGGGAAGACTTTTTTTCTCTTGACATCATTCTGAATATAACGGTAACGAAAAACATCCCAGCAGGACAAACATGTCTTAGTTTTAAAACAGAATAAGTTCAGCTGTTTCCACCTGCCTCCACTATCTGTGGGACTCAAATCTGGCAATAAAATACACTGAATTGTGCTCAGAGGCATTACATTTTAAATATTTATGATTTTCATTTAGTTGTTTCTTTTTTGTCCCAAAAACAGTCTTATTGAGCTCACATTTTACATCTCAACACATTTTTCTAATCTCTCCTCGGAAACGTTAAAAACAATAAATATCTTACCTGTTGTGGATAACTCTGTAGAAGGTTTGAACTGTTTGAGAAATTTTAATTCTGGTTGAGGAGCTAACAGTGGCTCAAAGTGGATTTCACTGTCCAACACTAACACTAATGATGCTGATTGTCTTAACGAGCTACACCTGTGAATGTGTGGATTTAAGTTGTGTCTTTCAGGCTGGAGTCAGATCAACACAGGGACAGTTGGTTGAGAGATTTTGATTAATATTTTAGGATTATGTGTTGACACAGAGCTTATAAAACAACTGATTTTCTGTACCACTTTATTTAGTTTAAAAAGAAGATAAAATTTAAATTAAAAGCTCTTAAATTTGCCAGTATTACTTTGCTTACCCACTATATAAACACTAAGGGTTGAAAATGTCTAGTTATTTATTTAAAGTGAAAACAAAACAGTTTTTAAAATTTACAGCTGTGGGGGGAAGTTATATTAATATATTTATCATTAACTATGTTCCTCATTCATCAGTTTTAAAATCACTCAAAGAAATTTGAGATGGTAAGTTTATAAATTTCCCACAAGACCTAGGAAACCCAAATGCACCACTGTAAAGTAAAAAGTCCACAACTGAAAGAAAGTACCACTCTTTGTGTTTGTCATATTCAGATCAAGACGCAAAAATGTAAATATACTTTTAGCTAAAACCACTGGAYAGTTAGCTAGCTTAGCACTAATTATAAATAAGGCTGTACAGGCACCTATTTATTCAGCTTGTTGATATATCTTACCTTGGGACCTTTTTCTTTACTAATATGACTATTTATATATGTACATGAAAATATAGMATCTCTACAATGTGAAGACAACAAAGGTTCACTTAGGATGGGTTTGTAGCAAGAAATCATGTAACAATTCTTAAGTCACATTTTATTCTTAATTTTAAATAAATTTTAACTTCCTGTTCAATTAGGTTTAATCACTTTAACCACCTACACATTCTAAGTTAAGTAAAACATCAAGCTCGTGCTAAGCCGTGTTAGCATGCAAACTGGAAATAATTCAAGCAGAAAACACAATTTTTTGGAAAAACTTCAAGCTAAATTTTTGGAAACAGAAAATGGACAACATCTAAAGATTAAAACAGTTTATTTTTGAGGTATGTTCTACAAAGCAACAGTTTTCTTCATTTGTTTTACGTAATAAAACATCTGGACATCCTTCATCAACAAGTTCCACCTGCACATAATAAATTCAGCCGTATAGTTTATGGGTGTTTTTATTAAAATAAATGTATTCAGTTTGTGTGTTTATTCAAACATAAGAACATCACAGTTATTTATGTTCAGAGCTTCACCCAGAAAATCAAATTAAAAATGGCACTTTTATACATTTTCATGCCAGATGAAGAGAGCGAGCACCATGGATCAATTTAAATGTCCAGCTTTGCTTTAAAGCTAACAAAATAAATTACATTTACATATTTTAATGTAACATACCAACAATGTTCATCTTTTAGTGTCAACAGTTGCTAAAGATATACAGTAAAATAAAAATAAAATCACACAAACATTAGAGTTTAAAGTGCAAACTATAAAAGAGTAAACTGCCATCTTGGACAAACACCTTCATCTGTTAGTATTTTATAAATAGAGCATTTTCCTTCACAAACTTTAGTAGTGTTTTCTTCATTTTCAGCTTAAAAAGGCAAATCAGTCTCTAAAAACAACCTTCTTACTAAAACATTTAGTCCTTGAAGCACCCAAACAGAAAAAACTGACATCACTCTTTTATCTGTATTTTATCTCTGAATAAGGCATGGGGTTCACCTAATTTGGCATAAAAACTGAAAACAGAGGCCTTAGAAGGGGGGCATTTGGATATTTGTGCTTGCTATTTCCAGATTTCCACATCTTTGTTTAACAATAAAACAAAATTACAACCACAGCTCTGTTTTATCACTGCTTGGAGACTTAATGTAATAAAAACCTTTATGAAAACCATATATAAAAAGGGACAATAAAAAACATGCAAAAATATTGCAAGATCCTAAAGTGTATCCACTGGAACAGAGCAATCCAAAATCCCTTTCCCCCTAAAATCATTGAAAGTTCAGATCTAAAGGGAAAATGTATTCGGGGAACTTGTACTTAAGGTTTGGACCTGAAAATCTAACAACCCTGGTAAAACAGAACCAGTGCCACTCTTTGGTACCCTAAAACCCTTGAACCTGAAACCGTTACTTGAGACCCATTGAAAAGAGGACCCAGGGTTTGGAACCATAGAAACCATGTAACATTGAATTTTGGGAACTCTGTGGATACTGTAAAACGTTATAAGGGGTATGTTTACTGATCAGTGCAGGAAAGTACCCAACTTGGGGTACTCATGACTGAATGTTACTACTTAACATGTCATGGGTTTTATTTGTTGTTTTCTGTTTTAAAYCATGTGGATTTAGTTACCATACAGATAAGAGACTGGTGTCAATTTATATTTAAGGTATAAATTCCTCAGTCTATTTGGCTTGATGCTACCGTTTGCTCAAAGTGTTTTAGTGTTGGTTCTTCGTTTAATTCTACATTCATTAAAGTGGTTTCAGGTATATTTAACACTGCTGTTTAAAGCACAGAAAAGACAGAAACCTTWAAAAAGATCCGATTCAAGCTGCCCACACGTCCGGTGCGTTCTGGTGCTTTGAACATCCAAGGTGTCGCCTGCAGAGCTACACACCAGGTGGTGACAGTTGGGTGATGTTTTGTTTGTTCTGTCCTTCCTAAAGTCACGTGTGCTTGGGAAAAACGTAACAAAAGAAGTCAAACTTTCATTCTGTCGGAGCGTGCCGTAAGGCTTGAAAGTTGCATTTCCTTAAAATAGACTTTCAGGTGTTGCATGAAACTGATATAAAAGTCCAGTAAAAAGTCCAATCCTCTGTGGGTCTTACTTAAACTGCTGCTTTCAATAGCTTGTTTACTTTGCAGCTTAGATAATATGACTCTACTGACGAGTGTCTCTGTTAGTCAGTGATCCAAAACCAGTGCTTCAAATTGTCCATATAGAAGGTTYTGATTGGGACCACATTCACATTTAAATCCTTCAATATACAGAYGTTTGTCCTTGAGTCGTGATTCTTCTATGCATGAAATCCTCTGTTGCGCTTCTTTTTCCTCAAACAGCAACATAGAAAAAGTCCCACAAAAATAACCAGAGCTGAAGTCACCACCGCGACAACCACCACGTCGTTCTGGACCTCCGGTTGGCGGCACATGTCCTTGGTCACCCTTTCGATGTTGACCGGCTCTGGATAGTCCTGGTGGACGCAGGTCACGATCTCGATGTCGGGAACGATGACAGAGGAGTGCTGCATCATGTGGAGGAAGCCGAGGTTGTCGCAGCAGCTCAGAGGGTTGAATCCCATGTAGAGGGTCTTCAAGGAGCGCTCCAGGGCCAGGACGGTAGACTGGTCCAGGGTTACTAAGTTGTTGTTCTGCAGGTTGAGGGACTCGATGGTGGACTCTCCCTTCCACATTGGCAGGGTGTTCAGCTGGTTGGTGGAAAGGTCAACGTTTCTGAGACTCTTTAGCGAGGACAGGTCCGGGTTTAGACTCGACATGTTGTTTTCCCTCAGGAGGAGGTGGACCAGAGAGTGTTCCAGACCAGAGAGTGAGTCTTTGTGGAGGTCCAAGCCTGGATTTAGCGACAAGTCTAGGAACTTCAGGGGGGTGTTTGCAAAAGCATTGGCAGGGAGGGTTCTCAGGTTGTTTTCAGAGAAGTACAAGAAGTGCAAACTCCGAACAGACGAGAGGGATACGCAACCAGCCGAACTCACGTCTTCGTTCTTCAGCCTTGGTTCCAGCCGGTTGTTCTCAGAGTCACAGATCTTCAGATTGTTCTGCTGGAGCTGCAGGTATTTGATGCTCGGCAGTCTTTGAAATATTTGGTGGTCTAGAACTGTGAGGTCATTTCCTTGTAAGAAGAGCCTCCTCAGCGACGTCAGAGTGTTCTCCCCAAAAGTCAGACTTTGTATTGAATTATGGCTGAGATCGATTATCCTTGCTTTATGTAAGAGGTCTTTGGAAGAGACAGAAAACGACCCGATGCAGTTATTACTCACGTTCAAGACCTCCAGGGATTTCACATTGTTGAAAAAACTCTCTGGGATGCTTTTAAGTTTGTTGTAACTCAAGTCCATGTATCTCAGGTGATTAAAAATCAAGTTTGTCTGGTTTTCCGAGCTTCCCGTGTTGTTGACCGTCTGAAGATGGTTTCGTGAAACATCGAGAAACTCCAGAACGTTCTTAACCGGGAGAAAGGGGAAATACAGCAGCTTGTTTTCGCTCAGGTCGAGAGAGCGAAGTTTAAAYGAACTGTTGGACTCCGCGCTTTGGAAAAACTCGATGCTGTTCTTGCTGAGATTCAGAWATGCCAGGTTGTAAAGGTTGAAGTCTAGGATGCATGTGATGGAGTTCTTGGACAAATCGAGCTCAGTCAGATTCTCCAAGGAATCAAACGCCCCATCTTCAATCTCCAGGATGACGTTGTTGTGGAGGTTGATTTTCCTCAGGGACGACGCTCCGTCGAAGGTATTTCGAGTTATTTCTGTGATGCTGTTGCTGTTCAGRGAAAGGTTCGCCAGCAACGGAGACTCGGACAGGAAGTAGTCCGACATACCCGTRTACAACCCGTTATTTGACAGGTCTAAAGACTCCACGGCTGTGAGAGGTCCYACGTTTATTTTGGAGCGGGCGAAAACACTTAAGTGGTTCTTGGAGAGGTCCAGCACCCTCAGATCCTTCATGTCCCGGAAAAGTCCCGGTTGGAYGAAGTGAATCCTGTTCGAATGGAGGTTCAGCTGGTGGAAGCCGGTGTGGAACCCCAAAGTTTCCTTTGTCAGGTTCTGAACCTGGTTTCGAGAAAGATCCAGCGTTTGGACTCCATGAGGGAGGTTGACGGGGGCACCTCTGAGGCTCAGATCACTGCAGAACACATCCATTTGGACCTGGGGATGAAAGACAAACACACAGGTCTGATTAAATTATGATTGTGACACGACCTGGACCAAATGCTTTTAAATCCTTCTTCACATTTCAATCCTTCAGTTTGGGTCTATATAAACTGGAACTGCAATGCTTTGGTCTGAATTCCTGGGTATTGTAGCTCCACAATCCCCTCTTTCACCCCGTTCTAAGGTGTGTCTGAGAGCAACTCGTTTTGTTGCTGTCTCTTTGAATGCAAATTAGGCACTTCAGACCCTGCCCTCTACCAGGTCGCAGAGTGTTCCACTCCACCTTGTTCTGCCGTTTTGGTAGTTTGCTAGCAGCAGCAGTGGACACAGCATTAACCACTAAGCAGCCAAACAAGAAACTAAGTTCGACTAATGCTAACCGCTAAGATGCTTAGTGGGACTGACTTAAACTTGTTAGTTTTCTATTGGTTTAAGCTGAAGGTGGGCGGGATCATCAGCGGCAAATCAGCCAATCAAAATTTTTTGTATTCATAATTTAAATATTGTTAAATGTCTTTTTAACATTAATAGTTTGAAATTTAGCTGATAAAGATGCTTGTAAAATGGGATAGTATTTATTTGAGATAAATAGCATAAAAATATAAGTTTTACATTTTTTGTGGACTTGAAATTAATAAAACCTAATTTAGTGGAAGCTATTGGTTTCCAAAGTTAACAAAAAAAGCAAATCCACAAAATAAGAAGCTGGTTTCGCTATTAGCGAATTAGTGGAACTACCACCCTGATTAAGAGAAGACTTGTCCATCCAGCCTTACATGTTGGCGCCAGAGTCTGATTCAGAACCAGAGTCTGACCCAGAACTAGAGTCTGATCCAGTACCAGAGAATGAAGACGACAAAGCTGCATAACTGCAGATTCAAGAAAGTGGTTCAGCAGAAGTGTTCAACCTTGTGCAGTTCAGCAGCAAATACTGTGACGTTATTGTTAAAAATGCATAATAGGGAATAGAGAAAACTGAGTGGATTAAAAAATATGACCCAAACAGAATATAAAGATATCTACGCAGCACCAGGAGAGAATAAATAAAATTTTCCTGCCTCCTTGAGGCTCAAAGTCAACAATTAATTGCATTTAAAGGCTGAAAAAGAGGAATTTTCATATGTTCCCTGAAAATTTTATTTAATTGCTTCTTTTCAACTGACACAAAGATAATCACCTCACACTTTTATTACCAGCACATGTCATGTTCCACCCCAATAAACGGAAATATTTAGGTTATTAAGTTTGCTTTATAATAGAAACCACATGGCARCAGGATCCTGTGTTCAACAACAGCTCATAAAGCTGCCTCCAGAGCAGAGAAACATTGAACGTGTTGTGAAACGGGCATTCCTCGCTGCTGACAGGCTGGTTGCAAACCCC